ATCATCCTGTGCTTCAGCCTGCTGGCTGCCTTCTTTTGGCTGAACAGCTTTGGCTACTACATCTGGAAGACCTTTCGCTCGCGCAACGTCTTCCTGCGCGTCACCGATGGCCGCAAGTACTGCTACTACTCCGCCTATGCCTGGGGCTGCACGGGCACCATGGCCGCCCTGGCGGTCTTCGCGCACTTCTTCCTCGATGCCGACTCGTACAAGCAGGAGCAGATGGTGGGCGAACAGGAGACTATTGGCTTGCTGGGCATTTGCATATTCTTTGCCCCCATTGCATGCACCATCGTGGTGAACACCTTCTTCTATGTGACCACCAGGAAGTTGATCAATAGACGCACAGTCTACGGACGGATAGCCCACAAGCTGAAGGCCAAGTGAGTTTTTCCAATTCGTAGATAAACCCATTGGAGTAATCCATCCCTGTCTCTTGCAGCTTCATTATGTTCTCGCTGATGCTGCTGGTCATGTCCGTGGCCTGGCTGTTCCTCATAATATCTTGGCTGCAGCTGGACGGACTGCTTTATGCCCACATTGCGGTCAATGCCCTACAGTGCCCGCTGATGCTCTACATCTGTGTGCTGCGGCAGCGCCATGTGACGTTTCTGCTCAAGAAGTCCTGCTGCTACAACGAGCCACCCTCCACGAACGACTGGGGCGACGAGATGCACTACATGAACGGCAACGACTACTGAGATTAACCAGCCATCGACTCCAGTCCCGCCTCCGTCTAACATCTAAGCTCTAGCGCCGCTAAGTGTTGTCCCGTAGTTTAGCAATGTCAAACATTGAGATTTTTGTACTTAAACTTAACTAACTTATAATTTACCAGTTAGGAAATAAAACAAGAAAAGTCTGACACATACCTGGCCAAAGAGCTTGCCCTCCTCGCGGCGCACCAGCGGCGACAGCAGAGCCCTCACAATCAGGTGGCAGTCATCCAGGACGGTGTTGAAAAAGCGCCGTGTGGGCAGCAGGGCTTCCAGATCGATGATGAACTCTAGAAAGCGCTCGCAGTAGTGCACCAGACAGGGGTTAATCTCGCCCTCAGCGGGAATGCTCTCGAGTATGTCCAGGAAGTCGATGATGAGGTTCTGCATAAAGTGCCGTTCCCATAGGACTTCGGCCTTGGGGTCCTTGTCCTTTTTGAGCAGACGCTTCCAGTACTTTCGCCACTCGGGCACCTCACGCAGCTCCTGCTCGCGACGGCGGGGCTGCAGACAGTGCCACATGGAGAGGGATACGAGACGCTTGGCCTGCTCGCGGCACAGCTCGATCTCCATGCTGTTGAAGCAGTGATTGAGAAACATCAGCAGTGAAGTGCGTTCACGCAACGTGCTCCTCGCCTCCTTCGCCCCCTTGTCCGGCAGACACGACTCCAGCACGTGGCGGAAGAAGTCCGGATACTGTTCGGGCTGCTCTTCGAATACATTCCACACCTGTACGCGCTCGCGAAACTTCTCGTTGGCCATGATCACAATGGACATGAGGTGCGCGTGTGTGGCCGTCTCTCGCTGGTAGTTCGGCCACAGATACTGTTCCATATACTGGCTGAACTCGAGCATGTTGATGCGCCGCGAACTGTGGCTGCCGCCGATTTCCTCATTGTAGATGCGTTCAATAACCTTTGCGCTGTATGGCAAATGGTCCGACTTTGTGTCTGGCGACCAATACTGGGATGCAACCTATAAAAACAGTTTGTTTCGTAATTTTCGGCTGCGTGCAAGCGCTTGTCCCAAGGAGCACCCACCTGCCATATGACATCGGAGCTGAATTGGGCTAACGTTAGGGTGCCGGCCATTTCTTTGGACTTGTTACTGTTGTCCTTGGCTGCTTGGGCTCGGGTTTGGCTTCGGCGTTTCATTTTCGCTGCTAACAACTACAGAAAATTCAATTAACACAAAAAAAAACACCAAACAAACGCCGGTCGCAGAAACAGTGTTACCGCGTAAGTATCAATCAAATATACCGCACGACCCTCAAAGTTATACCGAAATATACCTTCTCCTAAATAATTTTCCTCGATTTTGTGTTATATTTAATTTGATGCTTTTATTTTGGCTGACCTTTTTAGTTTTAATCTTGTTTTGCATTCAATCCAATATAGATAAGTCATGAAAATGAGCAAATCTTTTGGAAAATTGAATGATGACTCGAGTAAAATTACAGTTTTAAAGCATTTCGTAACCAGCTAATAATACTAAGTAGAACATCAACATCTAGGAAAATGGTTTACGATTTTCGGTATATTTGCAGTATATTCTAAAAATCAAAGGTTTCCAGGGTCGATAATTCCGCGGTCACACAGGTACTACATGCCGGCTGCCGCCGTAAATAAAAACTATATTTTCAGATAATTCACATAAAGGACTGCAAAATGATGCCTGCCATACCGCCCGAGAACATACTGGTACGTAGAAAAGCAGGATTAGGCCAGTGTTTGCTGAATTTCTTTAATTTTGATTACAGAACCGTGTTCTGTTGGTGCTGCGATATCCCCCAGTGGAGCGGGTGCACGAGCTGATCATGCTTATGGACCGATGCTCCCTGCGGGAACTGCAGGAGATATTTCCCCACATTGTGCACTGTATATTTGGGGTAAATGGCAATCCCCTGGGATGGGGACTGCGCACGACGACACCGGAGAGCGGAATTAATGTGTACAAGGCACTGGAACAGTTCTTTGGCATGTGCGGCACCTGGATGTGCGTGTGCCACAGGCTGCTGACCGAGCAAGCCAAGTTCGACATTGACATCAGCCTGTTGCCGGGGAAAATGGTCACAATGCTGCAAACGGGCCAGAGTCCCCTGTTCTACGCGGATCTGCTGAACATTGATCCACAGACGCACCAGTTGGTGTCGCTATCCCTTAACAGCTTCGACTTCTACATGGTTCACTTCGTGTTGCACGGACTGCAGCCGCTTCACAGCATCGATCCCGTGGCCATGCAGATCCACAACACGCGAAGCAAGACCGTCTATCTGCTGCTAGTGAGCGAGTATCTGAACAACTTTCTGCCTCTCTTTCCGGACGCACGCATCGAGCCGAGCTACTTAGGTGCTCAAGGCATCAAGGCACCGCAGCCCCTGCCCACGCAGTCGCTGCAGCCGCTGGGCCAGCCAAGCTACATTAAGATCCCCAGTTCCTATCGCAATGGCAACAGCTCTGGCGGTGGCAGTGGCGGTCCTGGAGGCGGCAACATCTCGCCACAGTCGACGTCAGCGAGTGTCACTGCCGCCCGCAACTATACCTGGCGCTCAGAGTCGGTCCTTCACTTCTTTTCTGACATCTGGCTACGCTACGATGTGGAGACTGAGCATCATCTGCCCGGTAGCGACTGGGTGCGCGCCGTCCGCACCTTAGTCAAACAGATTCACTTCTTCGCCAGCGCTGCCCAGGCTGACCACGGCTCGCTCTGTTCCCTGCGCAAGCTGTCCCTAATCATTGTGAAGGGGCGCATATATGCCTTCCTCTCAGGTCTGATTGACCGCTGGCCGCTGGACAGTTCCCTGCTGGTGGTCCTCGAACTGTGGCTCAGCTACATCCAGCCATGGCGATACACCATGGCCACCCTCAACAGCAGAGTGTGAGTGATAGATCCTTACGAATCAGGCAATGAAGCTTTGACCATCTTTGTCTTCTCTTTCAGTTCAAGCCACAGCTACAAGCCTGCCATAACTTCCGCCTACGACGCATTCATCATGGACAATCTGATCGTTTACACGCACGTATTCATGCAGCTGCTGCCGCACTTTGGGCGCCTGGATTACACGGTGTACCGCAATTGCCTCATGCTCAACCGCCTGGCCATCACATTCGGCGATCAAGATCTGGTAGATCGGCTGCTGCGCTTCGAGCGCTTACACTCTGGAAATTCCTATGGATTCGAGTCGCCACTTCGTCAGACGCACCTGCTAAAGTTGGTGTACATTTCGTAACCTATTTCGGGCACCTTTTAAAGTGTCTTTTTATACATTCTTTTAGCAAATCTCCGCCGCAGAGTGCCCAATGGTCGAGCATGCCCAAACTCTTCAGCGACATCATGCGCATGGAAATGGAGAACTTTTTGTTTGTCATCAGCATGGCACGAAACCAGGTGCTGCGTGAGGTTTCGCGCCTGCGAATGGAGATCTTGGAGAAGCAGCGTTTGGAGGGATTCCTCAAGAACTTCTTGCACAGAATGTGGCACGAGCCGAGCCAAGACGAGACGCTGCTGGCCGATGTGTCCCGCGTGCCGGAGGTGTTGCGCCAGTGCATAGATTATCTCTGTCGATCGTTTCATGTGAGTGCGGTGGCCTGTTCGTTTCTTCGTTCCTTTTTTAAGGGCCTTTTCCTCTTGCAGGTGGATCAGGCGAATCTCTCCATGCACGAGACGCTGCCCGAGGAGTGTATCTCGCCACCTTCCATCTTGGCAAACAATCGCAGCTTCTTCAATACCAGCGACTCCCTGATGGACACCTCAAGGCTTAACCCACGACATATGTCTCTGAATGCCTCGAACTTGACGGCCGCCATCGATCCTGCGCTCCTGCCCATCCAGACCGGAGAGATTACGTATTTGGTCAGACAGCTGCACACGATATCGAATGCGATTAACCAAAAGGTGGGTTGAGTGCATTTCTACAGCAATTAATTTCCTCTCCAAATCCCTCTTCTGACTTTTTCTTTGTCCTTTAGTACAAAATCCAATTGCAATCGTGCTACGAACGTCAGGATTTCCTTGGCAGCCTCACGCGACAACTGCTCCTTGCTCCAATGATCGAGCAGTGGTTCGATAAGCGGGACGGAAACACGGACATTTGGGAGAGGACGGTCACGGCGCGTGTCTCGCTGAGACCTCTGGCCTCCATGTCCGTTCTATCCGTTGTGGCCTGCTTCATGGTCATGGCATTCGTGTTCCTCGGATCAGCTCTGAAGGGGCTTGGCATCCTCGTCGCCCTGTTCATGGGCTACATCCTGCTAATGGCGCTCTGTTGGCCCTGAATTGTTCGTTGTCGTCTGAGATTTATATATTTGTATAAAACTAAAGAGAAACTACGATTACGACTACGTCTACGTCTACGTTTAGGATTACGATTAGATGAACTGTGTCTGTGTGTGTGTATGGGTATATCTGTGTGCAGCATCACTCAGAGCAACGCGGCCGTAGGGCCAGGCGCAGCGTCTGGTCGGGCACTGTGACCATTCGCAGCATGCATTCGACGGGCGGCTCGTTGAGGCACTGCATCTCGAACTGGGAGGCGCACTTGCCCAGCAGCGAGTGCAGCTGCTTGAGGGCCACACGCCGACCAATGCACGACCGCTGCCCAATGGCAAAGGGCAGGCTGCCGTGCGACTGGTGCACTTGCTCCGACCGGCCCACACACCAGCGCTCTGGCAGAACCCGCTCCGGCTGCTCAAAGTGTGATGCATCGCGACCGGCGGTGTACAGGGAGAGAAGTACCATGGTCTGAAAGAGGACAAAACGAATGAGCAATCGATGGTTTCTGCTGTGGAGCTTCCCTTTACCCACATCTTTCTCAACGAAGTGGCCTCCAAGATGCGCATCCTGCGGCAGGTAGCGTCCGATGAACGGCGCCACGGGGTACAGACGCAAGGACTCCTTGATTAGGCCATGCATCAGCTGCGACTCGGACGCCATTCGCTCGCTAGCAAGCCGACGCTGCAATTGTGGCTCCCGCGACAGCACGAACAACGCCCACTGGCTGCTGAATGCGGTCTGTGTGGGAGGGAGGGGGGAAGGGATTCGAATTAGACAAGCGATCGGTGGCTGCTGCCGTTTAAAATCCACACCGTGTCACCTGCTGCTATGACCAGATCCACAAATATCCTCTTGATCATCTCCCCAGGCACCTCGGCCGTCTGCAGTCGATGGAAGAGAGTCTCCTCTCGCAGCTCCGGCTGTGCGTTGTCGCCGTTGAACTCTCCTCCAATGCAGTGGTCTATGATGGCGGCTCCCTCGCGCAGCACCTCGTCCACGTTGCTCTCAAAGTCGCGCCAAATGCGGAGGCGTAGCAGCTGGGCCAATCTGGGTGGAAAGGTCATCAGGCGCGAGCTATGCTCGAAGACCTTGTGCACAATCTGGGTGAAGTGGTCCAGAGCCGGCTGGATTTTGGGGCAGGTCAGGACATTGCTCCCAAACATGATGCAACAGAGCACTGTGGGGGGAATGAATTATAGGTTTGATCGATCAGGAAATTGCCATAGAAATACCCACCTTCTATGGACCAACGATAGAGCTGCTGCTCCAGCTCCGGCAACTCGTAGTGGCTGCTCTCTGCAGTTGCCTGCTCGGTGCTGGTGCGCCACTGGTCGACCAGCTGCCGCGTGCAGTTCTCAATATGCACGTCCATCCAATTCAAATTTCCGTTGAGGAGCAGGCGATTAAGTATACGCCGATTGTGCAGCCACTCCGTCCCCTCCCTGTGGCGTGGCAGATTAGACATGCAAATGGATGCAAAGAGAAGCAGCCAAGACATGAGATGAGATGCGAATGATTTGCAATTCATAGACAGGGTCGCGGCGGCTCGCCTTTCGACTCTCGACTTGTGTCGCTCCACTTACATAAAGAACAGTCCACGTTGGCAGGCATGCCGCTGGTTGTAGAGCGTCCAGGCATCTGGTAGCGGATGCTGCGGATATTGACCCTCATGCACGAAGACTCCACGCATTAGATTGGCCGACGACACGAACACCGCATCCTGAGAGCCGCCCAAGCGTTCCCTGAAGATGGGACCGTACTGCCGATGGCGCGCGTCGATGTACTTGTGTAGTCTGTTTCGGAGAGAAGCTCATCGATCTGTAGAGGAATACGTTCTTTTCTCTGGGCTGTATGTGCGACTCACTGTGTAGCTCCGCCAGCGGCTATCAGATCCAGCAGTGTCCCCACCACAGGCAGGCCCTTTACGCGGGGTATGGGCACGACGCCCACTTTTGGGTTGCACCTGTTGCTGCCTATTGTCGCCTCCGTGAGACCGGCTTCCGCTTTTCCACAGAACTGCCACAGAAGGCGCACCAGAAGCGTCCTCAGCAGGTGCTGCAGCCAGCGCAGTAGGCTCGTCCGCTTTCTGTTCATCGCTTTCTATCTCTCACTCTCTGTCTGTCTGTCTGTCTCTCTCACTGACAATGTCCCAGCAGGGGGCGGGCGAGGGAAGAGCAACAGGGCTCACTGCAACACGTAACACACACGTCCGACAAAGGGCCAGGCTCGGTCTGACTGATTCGCCATGCCGCTGAGCCACGGCCTTATAACCGAACAGAATGGAATAGCAGCAGCAGCCGCGGCAGCAGCAGCGGCACAGGAACGGAAAGCAGGTAGGCTCAGTCTCGGTGTCGGTGTCTCTCAATTGATATGCGCAACTCCAATAAACATCCACATCCACGCTGCTGCGTGAGCACCTTGGTTTTCGTCTTCCCATTGTGCAAATGTGTGGGGTGGTCCGCCTCTGCGAGACGCGCTGAGTGGACACAATAGGCACAAGTCCCTCCCCACTCGATCGATTCGTGGGGATATTGCTGGCATATGCAAATTTTCGGGAGGCGCAAGCGCGCGAGAGAGAGAGAGAGAGAGAGAGAGAGTAAGAGAGAGAGAGAGCGCGAGAGAAGCTTCAGGGCTTTCAATGTTTTTACTGATTTAAGCTCCTCACTTAGCCGCGTTTTAGCCAGCTATCAATTTGTTGTGACTTTATAGACAGCTCCTAAATTTATAATTAACTAAACAAAATACTTTATTGACACAGTTATTCCAGTGCAACTTGTATTTAATCTGCTCCTCAAAACATTTCTTTCTAGACACAAAAGTGCACTTCATTAAGTGTCCAAAATATTCCACAATTATATCCATTTAGCCGCGTCAATGCTCACACTTTTGTGGTCTGGTGTAAATTTGAGAGTTGCGTCGGCTTTTTCGAAGTGGTGTTCTTGCTCGAATTTTCGAACAGCCATATGTTTGCAATGCTACTATGTGTAAGAAGAGCACAGCTAGTCTGCGCAAAGAATTGTTTGGCGCGCAGAGTCTTACATTTGAATGTGATGTGGAAGTGTGTTACGAACCTGTTTTGGAGTTGGGGCAAGGCCGGCTAGCCAGTCATCCCAGGCCCCCAGGTCGCACAACAAACCAACTGTTCGGATATCTCGAACAAATACCAAAACGAACGAAAATTAAAAATAAAAATACAACGAACTTTACTCTACATCTAACGGACAAACATCTCTCCGACACAGACGTGGACAAGTCTGAGGTACCGGTGGTCTAGCTTGGGCGTACTTTACTTGAGATCCGACTCAAAACAACTACGATTCTCCTTTCCCAAGTGAGGCGGCCTTTCTCCATTTCGCCGTTGTGGTTCCCTTTCCCCCACATACTAAACAAACTAGCTCTTCATTTCAAACGTTATAATATTGGACTCAAAAACTTAACACATACTTAACTATACCCTACACTAACTTATGGCGGCGCGTCCGCCTACTCCCACCTTCTCAGCTTAAATTATGGGTGGAAATGATCACAAAAAAAGAAATATAAATAATAAAATAAATATAAATACAAATACTACATTTATGTTAAATTAATAAGGGTATATAAGTTTATATAGGGAACGGCTAAGTAATTTTGAATAATATTTAATATATATTTGTATTATTTATGTGTGTATTTATGTATTTATTTATTTAATCGGACTTCGTTGCTCCTAAGCTATGGGTGGCACTTGGAGGGCTCGCGCCCGGGCAGGGTTGTGACCTTTCTTCAGCGGGCCGGAGGTTGGAAATTTTGGCCCATCTACGGGATGCCAGTCGGTACAATTTATTCCCTATGGGTTTTAAAAATATTGAATCTGGGATTCATTTCTCTTTGGACTGGACTCTTCAAGATTGTCCCGCCGGTCTGTCTTCTTTTTCCCGATTTGGTCAAGATTTTCTTGTTCCACGGTCACACACAAAAACGCTCTAACACTGCCGATCTTTATTTTCCCATAAAATGCATGCTCAGCGTAGCTGCCCTATTCAGTCTCTCTCACTGGAACTGATCCCATCTCTTCTATTGCCCTTGAACCAAGTTCAAGGGCATGGCATGGCATTTCTTCGAGGGTGTGGGTGAGCTGGTTCGTGGATCCCGCAATATTTTTGAGCCTCTCTTCGATTTCCCTTCTCTCACTCTCCGGCACCGTTTGTCGCCTTGCCCCTTCAACTATCGCCCTGCCAACCTCCAAAAACAAATACAGTATTTTGCAGATCGATTTCCTTCGACTGCAATAAGTGGACTTTAATTTAATGGTAATTAATCTGACAAAAATGAACGATTGAACCATTTTTTATCGTTTTTATTTTCCATTGCGACCTCTGTGTTAAATAAACTCTTACCGCTTCCATTTGAATGAACACAGACCCTATTTCGAGCACAAACATGGAACCCAATTTAGTTTTAAGCCTCAGCCAATCATGAAATAAGTCTGACAGCATAAACTTTCCATACCGATGATGCCCCTGCGGCCGCAAATTTGAAACTGATGCACTCTCGCGGTATTAATGGCGCCATATTTTCCATGTTTCAGTTTAGAGGACACTAAAAATAAATCAAGAATATACGATCCATAAAAAATACATACACAAACAAGAACTAGACTAGATAAACCCCAACCTAAATGAGGCACTCAAAAGTTAACAGAAATCAAAACAAACAAAAACTCGGAGCAGTGAGGTAGAGAAGTTCGCGCTGGAATTGTGGAATTTATTATACCCGGTACTCGAAGAGTAAATAGGGTATATTGTATTTGTGGGAAATAACGGTTGTATGTAACACACAGAAGGAATCGTTTCCGACCCCATAAAGTATATATATTCCTGATCAGCATCAAAAGACGAGTCGATAGAGCCATGCCTGTCTGTCCGTCTGTCCGTCTTGTTTGTCGGCTAGTTCTCAGGAACTATAAGAGCTAGAGCCACCAAATTTTGCATCCAGACTGCTGTATGCTCACACTGAAGCCAGTGTTTTCAAAAATGAGCCACGCCCCCTTCCGCCCCTGCAAAAGGGCAAAAACCTCCCAAATCTACAGTTTTGAAGATAAAAGAAAACCATTCCGTAGGGAATAGCCATATCTATCAGATCACCAAATTGGAATCCGATTGGATCATTATTATAGCCACAATGAAGAAATTAATTTGCAGTGGCTAAACCCACCCTGTACCGCAGCTTTTGTTGTTCTTTTTACATTCTCTCATTCACACTCTGCTTCTGCTTCACTCGGCCCCTGCGCCTGCCCTCTCCCTGCCGATTCCTCTTCCGACTTTTAACCCACCCCGTCCCGCAGCTTATATATGTTTTTTTTTGTGTGCGGGCGCTGCCTCTGCCTCTGCCTCGAGTCTGCAGTGCGTGGGTCTAGGGAAGGGCGCTGAGCTAAAGGAGCGTGTTGGTGTGAGAAGTGTTGTAGATGTAGATGACAGATGAAGAAAATATGTAAAATTTGACAAATAACCGCTAAGGTGCAGATGTAGTCCTGAGTGCCGCGTATAAAAGTTGTGACGCGTAAGAAGCGTCTCACACGTCCCTTCTCGTTTTTTGTGTGCGGACGTTGCCTCTGCCTTTGCCTCGAGTCTGCAGTGTGTGGGTCTAGGGAAGGGCGGCGAGCTAAAGGAGCGTGTTGGTGTGAGAAGTGTTGTAGATGTAGATGACAGACGAAGAAAAAAATTTAAAATTTGACAATACACCGCTAAGGTGCAGATGTAGTACTGAGTACCGGGTATAAAAGTTGTGACGCGTAAGAAGCGTTTAATTTACACTGTTTCACACGAGCACATTGTTTAGTTTTGTTTCTTTATTCTTTTCTTAGTTCTTGTCTTTTCCTATCTTAGCGTCGAAATTACATTTCCTACGTCCCTACCTATTCGCACCAAACCAAGCCATGGAAAAAAAGGATGCATCACGCAGCCTCGCTTACCCGATCCTCTAGAGCTAGGTGGGTGTGTGTGCTGCCGTCGCTGCCCACGCCCGTGGCTTTCTTGGTGTTGGCCGCTCTCGGGCTGCTGCCGGCGCCCTTGCTCTCTCGCCCTCTGGGCTGGGGCTCGCTTCGTTTCGCTTTTCGTTCCGCTGCTCTGCTGCTGGCTCTCGGCGTTGATCTCCGGCTCTGCTTCTTTGCTGCTGGCTCTCGGCGTTGATGTCTGGCTCTGCTTCTCTGCTCTGCTGCTGGCTACCGTGGGCCGCGAACTTAAATTATGACTTCAGAATTTCACCTTATACTATAACTTAGAAACTAACAATGGAAAATTATAAACTTAATAATAAAGACTTCATGATAACTCTAATAAATACCTAATAAAAAATAAAACAAGTAATCTTCCTAGTGAAAACTTAACCCTATATAACAAAAACTTCATAATAAACCTTCATGGTGACCGTTCTAAGTACTTAAACCTACCAATTATAACTGCTTAAAACCTACCAAAATTGTTCGTCGTCACACCCCCCCTTTCTTCCCGGGTGACATTTGATGGTGACGCCGCCGGACGGGGTGATCGTGATTTTAAACGTGCTTTCCGGCCACTCCAGAGTGAAGCGTCGCCTTGAGGTCCCCTGTTGTTGGCTTGTACGGACCATTTCCACGAGGGCCCGAGGGATGAGTCGGCGTGGGGTATTCGCCCGCCATTCGGAAGGGGCCTCGACCCACTTCCTCTCCTCTTGTAGCAGCTCCGCTGTAGGGGCTTTGACGTTAACTTCCGGTCCTAGCAGAGTCTGGAGGTCGCTGCTGCCAAATTACAATTACAATTACAAGTCCAGCTCGTCGGTGTCTTGGGCTGGCGATAGCCCGAGCGAAGCGGATTAAGCAGTCGGTGTTGCTGCTGTTCGCGAGGTCGACACCCCTATCTCGTCACTGATGATGGCCACCGGGGCATCGCTCTCCACCCTCTCCTCGTTCTCTGGCTGCAGCCACGAATCCGGTTCCGGGTAGAGGTATCGGTATGGCGCTCTCTGTACTTGCGAAAGCTCCGTGCTTATGTCGTCGAATTGCGAAATTCCTCGGGCGGGTTCGGCCTCGTTTCCCTCGTCGTCGAACCCCTCGAACCGGCGTTGATACTGGGGAACTCAGCCCCAGGCGTTTTGGCGTTCTTCTGCCCACTGTCGCCGCGGCTCCTCGATCTCCTCGTCGTCCATGGTCGTACTCAGTGCTGCGGGATATAAACGAGGTTATATCCATGGGCCTATGGACAGACTATGGTCTACAGGACAATAGTCTGGTGCGATGTTTGAAACTTGTAAATACCCTAACGAAATACTACTACCGATGTTATACATTGTCTAAAACTAATCCGCATTGTGAGCGGCCCCAAATTTACTTGCTAGTCCTGTCTGGTCGTCTGTGTTGCGGCCGAG